CTTGTGTTTGCGGTAGTATAGTTGATGAGAAAGGTACACATGGTTTAAGTTACAGGAAAAGTGCAGGGCGTACATCTCGACATCACCAAGTAAACGACATATTGAAACGAGCTATGTTGTCAGCGGATGTTCCTGCAATTCTGGAACCCTTAGGTAATCTCTTCGAAACAAGCCGAGATATGTGAAAATTTATCAGTCTCCTATCAAGGTTAATTCACAAGTGATTGATCCACCTTCTTCTTTTTCAGTGCCGTCAGTGGACTTAGGTCATTCTTGCCCCCCAAATATGACTTGCAGTCCTCGTAGTTCTGGTTCCCTTTTAGTGGAAGATTTTCATGAAGCAAGAACCGAATCGATTCCTCTACGAAACCCTTCTTCACTTGGAAGGTTCGATCGCAGCTTGAGAAATGGTTCTTATGGAGATTCTGTGAAACATCTTCTTCCCTACGAATCAGTAGAGAGTTGTCCTGAAAATCTAGACAAGAAAATTGGATTGGATAATTTAGGAAACACTTGCTACATGAATAGAATTTTACAAGTATTTTTCATGACAAAGAATTTCAAGAACGTGGTTTTAATGATGATCGAGAACGGGAATGTTTCCTACTTATTCATCAAACTCGAACACCTGTTCATGCAGCTGCAGTTTCGTAAGAATGTATCATCTTTCCCTCCAACTGATTTCCTGGAGTCTTTGAAGTCCACTAGATACTCGTTAGGACAACAAGAGGATTGTTCCGAATTCTTGGGGTTCTTGTTGAATACTCTTGACCGCTCTGGATTGAATGTTTCCGTACAGTCCATCTCGTCTTCTGTTTGTAAATTTTTTGCTGGAAAAATCCTCACTTGTTTACTTTGTAGTGAATGTTCAAGAGGTAGCGAAAACTTATGTGAATTTTTGGAACTTCATCTAGCTTTTCCTAATATGAATAATGACCAGTCCGTGCAAAGCTTATTATTGAATCATCTGAAAATGGAATCTTTAACAGGTGAAGATCGACTGTATTGCCAAACTAACTGACTGTTATAAGGAAACAAGTATATCTGAGGCACCAGTCAATCTAATAATAACACTGAGGATCTTCAAACAAGACTCAACCTCTGACGGAAGCAAGAAACTCTTTGGAAGGTTCGAAATAGATGAACATTTCAATCTAGCAGACCACTATTATAATATTCATGCAGTCATTGTTCACTGTGGTTCTGGCGTTGAATTNTTTCGGTATTAACAACTCTACCCTCAATAGCTTGTTGTCGCAACATTTTGTTTGGTATGAAAACAGTGATGAGAGTGCCTAAAAATACAAAGACCGCTTGCACAGCCATTGTCCACATAGGACCCAACCATAAATTGAGATATCCTGCTCCCACTGTCACGACTACACCAACAAGTTGCGAAGAAGCCACTATAATGCCTGATGTTGTTACTTCCTGTGCAGGAAAGGTCAACTCTACACCTAATTCAAAACCAACTGGCAAATATCCATTGAAAAAGAACCTGAAAACACAAATGTATGTATTAGACAGGCTTGATTTTGATTTAAAAACTACTGCTTCTCATTGAAAAAAAATGAATCTTGCCATTCTTTGAATGATGTTTCAATGGGAACAAAAATCCACATATCGTTTATTATCTGACTATAAACCAGAAAGAGTATTCAATTTTTGAAAGAGACCATCTGTATATCGTGACATCAATCGTTAAGGTATCGCACATTGTTCTTCAACAAACACGTGGGATTTTAAGGTTTAGATGTTCCTGAAACGATGACAAAAAAAGAAATACGAAGAAAAATGAAGGAATGGAGAGAAAAAGAAAAGAGGGACGAGGGACATATTTTTTCCAAAAGTTTTGTGTTTTCTCCGTTTGGCATTTGCTTTTGGGACTACCCACGTAGTGTAATATCAAATTATTCAATAGAGTTATTTAATTTAAGTTAGCATCCTACTAATTTATCTATTTATTGATCAGATAACATAGTTCGTAGCAATATTTGTTCTATACTCACCCCACGAAACCACAGCTTACGTAAGTGGCAATTAGCGATCTATACTCCAGTGAAAACATGAGAAACACAAAGCTGATTCCAAATAGTAGGTAGCTGATCAATGCAATTTCCCTAGAAAAAACTGAATAAGGAAAAAAGAATCCGCTAGATAAATCCATATTTCTTCTCCAGACATTATGTTTGGCCCCTGATCACTTCTATATTAACTTCAATTCAAGAGCCACCGGTACACAGCTGTTTCAGCCTATTGGTCATCGTCAGTACCGGGCAGGGGGTCCTCGATTGAAGACAAAATGTGAATAACCAAGAAAAGTACTTGATAAAAATGACTGCATAAACGTAAGAAAGACATAAGTGGAACCACCTATTGGTGTGACACCAAGTCAACACTGACATAAAAACTTGGCAAGTTGACTTTCTTCCTTTCTTTGGGAGATTTGATCACTAGTTTTACTTATAAGAAATTTCATGTGTAAAAAAAACATGATTTTCAACTCTTTCTTCCTCTAAAGAAATGAACTTTAAACGTTCAAGCCAGTCTCGAATATACCTACATAGTAGGTTGAATGGACTGACGCCTATCAGAAAACAACTACTCCCCCGGCTAATACCACGAAGGGCGTTGGATTATATCCGATAGGCATCAGTGCAGGAATCTTCACAGAAAATTTCCTGCATATGCAATTGGCAATACAACTGAAAGAGTCGACCCGCAATTTTGAAACAGGCACACTAGCAGAACGGTTTCGGGCTCATTAGCCACTCATCAGTGCAAGATAGTGGCCATCATCGACCTAAAGTCAATGATATTCCATAATTGAAAATCGGAATTCTTTCAGAGTATTTCATTCCTTTTCCTAAGTTGGAGCGAACAACAAAATGTCACTAGTATCTCGTCCACTAGATGGAGTGTATGAATGAATTC